ATGTTGAAGAAAAAAACTACATTTCATTACATAACTAAACCAAATTTTAGCTCTTGTGTTAAAATGGTGTGTCCTGTGTGCCCTTGTGTGCCCCTGTGTGCCCGTGTGTGCCCTTGTGTGCCCTTGTGCCCGTGTGTGCCCTGTGGCTGTGTGCCCTTGTGTGCCTTGTGTGCCCCTAGATTTAGAGGGCAGCTCATACCCTAAGTACACGTCCTTGGCCCAGGAGTAAGTGGACACACTAAAGTAATTAACACATTTCAGCTCTATGTTAGAACTGTGGTCGTGCACGGGTGGGAGGACTGAACCTCCAATTTATTCCTCTCTGAGCATTCTCTTGGCTGTTTACATAAGCATGGTAAATTTAATCTCTTAAAAACACTATTTTATATAGAGATAAATTGTTCTTAGAATACAATGTTTGAAATATACTACAGGTGTGTAAGGAGGGAAGTTTACACAGGAGGACTAACAGTAGAGTCAGGAACAACACAGTAGAGTCAGGAGTAACACAGTAGAGTCAGGAGTAACACAGTAGAGTCAGGAACAACACAGTAGAGTCAGGAGTAACACAATAGAGTCAGGAGTAACACAGTAGAGTCAGGAGTAACACAGTAGAGTCAGGAACAACACAGTAGAGTCAGGAACAACACAGTAGAGTCAGGAACAACACAGTAGAGTCAGGAGTAACACAGTAGAGTCAGGAGTAACACAGTAGAGTCAGGAGTAACACAGTAGAGTCAGGAACAACACAGTAGAGTCAGGAGTAACACAGTAGAGTCAGGAGTAACACAGTAGAGTCAGGAGTAACACAGTAGAGTCAGGAACAACACAGTAGAGTCAGGAGTAACACAGTAGAGTCAGGAACAACACAGTAGAGTCAGGAGTAACACAGTAGAGTCAGGAACAACACAGTAGAGTCAGGAGTAACACAGTAGAGTCAGGAGTAACACAGTAGAGTCAGGAACAACACAGTAGAGTCAGGAACAACACAGTAGAGTCAGGAGTAACACAGTAGAGTCAGGAGTAACACAGTAGAGTCAGGAGTAACACAGTAGAGTCAGGAGTAACACAGTAGAGTCAGGAGTAACACAGTAGAGTCAGGAACAACACAGTAGAGTCAGGAACAACACAGTAGAGTCAGGAGTAACACAGTAGAGTCAGGAGTAACACAGTAGAGTCAGGAGTAACACAGTAGAGTCAGGAACGTGTTGGTGAATAATACTTGGTGTTTGAACTGAGGCTAATTACTTATTGACTATTATTGTTAAAGACCAGAAATACGAAAAAAAACATTATTTAAGATAATAAAACAGACATAACCTAACCTAACCTTCCCCACACCCCCTGTTAGGGTTAGGGTGGTTTATCTTCAGGTGAATTAATCTAGGGTGCCTAATCTTGAAGTAATTCCAACTGTCTTAAAAAGTCATTATGATCACCATTTGTCAAGATAATTTGTTAATAAGTGGATGGCAGTAAACATCATCTTTAAATTTATCAACAGATCTGTAGATAGACTTTCATTGGGTCTTGATTAATCTCATAAAAATGACCTCATTATCATTACTATGTTATACGGTGTTTCGGTATTTGTTAGTATATGTTTTAAATCATTACAACAGTGTATGACAGAATTTTATTACTCTTGTTATTATTAGTAGTCGTAGTATAGTAGGGAGAACCAGAACCAAAAGAACAGAGCGTGTAGAAAGATAATCCTAAATGTGGACCAAGGCAGCTTCACTCCTCTGGTGGGCTGGGACCAGGTACAAGGTGCTTCTATGCCAGACTGGCTGAGGTGTTATCAGAACAGAGGCAGCAATCCAGAAGTTACGTCGTGATCTGAGTGAAGTGCCGTTTATCCTTCTCTTTGCTCAGGTCTGCACTGCTGTGTCTCAGGGAACAACATCTTTGGTCACTTTACCAACAACAGTCCCAGACATGGACTATGAGGCAAAAGTCACGGAAAGCCGTATAGACATGTGGCTTCACTAATTCAACTTGGATAATAAAATATGTGAGAAAGTATGGCTATAAGGGGAGATTGGAGGACATATTTAAAAACAAAATAGAAGTGGTATTAGTCCGAAGTGGTGTTCCAAGTGTTGGTGCTTCCATCAACCACCATACCTTAACCTGTCGTCTCAAACAAGACTTGAGCACTACATCCTCTTCGCCTCACCTGATGATGCATTTTATTCCCGGGAAAACATAATTGATAGGTTGTCGGGCAGCTCGTGACTCTCGGGGCAGCCAAGGTCGAGGCGAAGGTCTCGGTGGTCATGGAGGAAACGACAGGTCGACCTTGGCAGCATCTCGTCCTGGGGCCTCGTGATCATGGCCGCCACTAACCTACGGCGTGTTTCTGCTAATTCGTCTACTAACCTAACTCAATCTAACTTAAGGTACTATAACCTAACTTGCCCTAAATTACCTTGACCTAACACATCTTAACTATACAAACACTAGGCCTAATCCAATTTAATCGAGACAAACTTAAATCTAATTTAGGCTTGACTAATCCGTCATATTTAACCAATCTAGGTGTACCTGCCTCCTGATCAAACTGTCAACAGATTGAGTCCCGTGACCGGCCCCTGGATAAGGTGTCCAGTCGACCCTACCACAGGATGGGTTTACGTAACGTTACAGTCGGTAAGTAAAAGATGGCGGCCACAGTTTCCTTGACTTTGCATACCGAAAAATTAGTCTTCAGTTCATTGTATCTACACTGTCATTGGGACCTAATTTCACCCTATCAGGACAGCAGGAATAGTGTGAGTAAATTACGAGCCAAGATCATTTATAAATGCTGATTGAAATTCTAGGGCCGGTGTACACACTTCTTCACCTGGTGTGGTGATAATATTGTGTTTTGGCCGGTGTACACACTTCTTCACCTGGTGTGGTGATAATATTGTGTTTTGGCCGGTGTACACACTCCTTCACCTGGTGTGGTGATAATATTGTGTTTTGGCCGGTGTACACACTTCTTCACCTGGTGTGGTGATAATATTGTGTTTTGGCCGGTGTACACACTCCTTCACCTGGTGTGGTGATAATATTGTGTTTTGGCCGGTGTACACACTTCTTCACCTGGTGTGGTGATAATATTGTGTTTTGGCCGGTGTACACACTCCTTCACCTGGTGTGGTGATAATATTGTGTTTTGGCCGGTGTACACACTTCTTCACCTGGTGTGGTGATAATATTGTGTTTTGGCCGGTGTACACACTCCTTCACCTGGTGTGGTGATAATATTGTGTTTGGCCTGTACACACCTGGTGTGGTGATAATATTGGTGTGGTGATAATGTGTTTTGGCCGGTACACTTCTTCACCTGCACACTTCTTCACCTGGTGTGGTGATAATATTGTGTGGTGATAATATTGTGTTTTGCCGGTGTACACACTTCTTCACCTGGTGTGGTGATACCTGGTGTGGTGATAATATTGTGTTTTGGCCGGTGTACACACCTGGTGTGGTGATAATATTGTGTTTTGGCCGGTGTACACACTCCTTCACCTGGTGTGGTGATAATATTGTGTTTTGGCCGGTGTACACACTTCTTCACCTGGTGTGGTGATAATATTGTGTTTTGGCCGGTGTACACACTCTTCACCTGGTGTGGTGATAATATTGTGTTTTGGCCGGTGTACACACTTCTTCACCTGGTGTGGTGATAATATTGTGTTTTGGCCGGTGTACACACTCCTTCACCTGGTGTGGTGATAATATTGTGTTTTGGCCGGTGTACACACTTCTTCACCTGGTGTGGTGATAATATTGTGTTTTGGCCGGTGTACACACTTCTTCACCTGGTGTGGTGATAATATTGTGTTTTGGCCGGTGTACACACTCCTTCACCTGGTGTGGTGATAATATTGTGTTTTGGCCGGTGTACACACTCCTTCACCTGGTGTGGTGATAATATTGTGCTCCAAGAGAATCAGTGTTACATATACGGCAGCTTAGCTCTACTGTACAGTATTATTAAAATAACTACAAAATCAAGTAGAATCTTCAAACGTTCGAACGTTTATTGTCTCTCCTTACTGTAGTTACTTAACGGTATCTGTCTCGTTTAAATACCAACATGGACATTGATGTCAAAAATGGCATTGAAATTGCATGGAGACTACCATAACGAGCTGCTTTCGGTCGTCGCCATTTACGGGGAAAATATTACGATACGACTATAGTCTTATAAGAACCAGGGCTGTGGGGTACCCGTGCCAAGGTGGCAACTGACTAAACTGTATGATGCATGCCTGATGCCCTGGGGTGCCCACATGGCCGGCCATACCCCTGGCATGAGACACAGGTTTCTCCAGAACCCACCAGTACTACGACACACTGATTGCCTAATACATCCTACTACTGACTAATCACCCGCCCCAAATTCCCATCGGTACCCATCTTACTCCTACGCCCCCAATACATGTACACAGATAGACTTAGCCCATTTTTCTTCAAATACTTTGTTTGTGATAGTAGAAAATAGTAGTAGTAGTAGCGAGTACGTGGGTAACGCAGGCGACATTGGCAGCGCTGCTCCACCGTGAATGAATCAGAGAGTATTCTTGGCTCAGCTGCTACGCCGGATCACTCAGTCTCATATGAATGAAAAACTGGATTTTATAAGCATTTTATTGCGTTTAATCTTAAATGCACAAGGTATCTTGGGACTACAATCCATAAGTTTTATCACGGTCATGACATCATAACATTTACCAACACCCACGACGACTCCTCTTCCCCCCTGCTATGGGGGCGAAATAAGAATTCCCAAAATAATTAGGTATTGGCCGTCATAGTCTCACTCCGTGTTAATTTTCTCAACAGCTGATACCTTCCTACAGTTTTTTCTTTTTTTGCACTTCTGGAAGGATCTTGGCATTAAAGAGTCGCGATATCAAGATGATGGCAGTACGAGAGTTATAATCTAGCGTCTGGCAACGAGGTGGGGTAGAGTTGCCAACAGCTGTGGTGAGCGGCAGAGCAAGTCTAGTTCAGTACATCCACAACTCGCGTGGTAGTCAGTCGGTTAGCTTGCTGGCTCTGTGCAATCCTCTTGAGTGCAATTGAAACCCATTGACGGATTTAAATATACAAGTGTTACTTGTTGTGTGTGTGTAGGAAATCTAGTCAAAACAACAGGGATTTTTATATACTTCATTGGAAGGAATATCATGTACAACAGTAAGTAGTTTAGATGTTTTAACTACCTTGTTTACTGGTGTCATAGAAGGCATTAACCTCTCAGAATAACTACTGTATAAGAGTTCATAGATCAAAGCTGTAATGTAACGTAAATAAAAAGATATGTTTATTATGGAGATAATTACTTGCAAATTTGAGTAAACAACTTTGTAACACTTATTTTTATGGATAGCACTCACTAGTTATTAAGCTTTATTAAAGTGTTATTATTGTACCCGCGTGGTGATAATGTCAACTGCAGATGTTTTTATGAATACCCAAAACAATATTGGGATAGATGAATGTTGTATGGTGCAGGATGTGTAGGGTTTCTTTTAGTGGTGAATGATATAGTGAATAATTGATGGATTCCTGTTAGATCGTAACTGAAATTTGGATGTCACCCAGATTTATGGTGACGGGAGTATATGATGGTGACTGAGGTGGTGGTGATGCTGTTGTAGTTAACAGTGACTCGACACTCAAACATGGGGAGGTGATGTCAGGCGGTGGTGCCACGTCTACCGTGACATGCACTGCGGGATCCCTACTTGTGCGTCAAGTCCCCGCCTTCTTATACTGCAACATTCTCTCTCTCTCACGCCAACATATCGTTGCACCAGTAATGTCGTCGTCTCTCCTAACGTTGTCATCATTATACTGTAACACAATTGTTACTCTTTAACATTCGACGTGTATTCATGGGTATTGAACGATAGTGTCATTACACAAGTCACATAACACCATTGTAGTTCCAATTGAAATAATCTCAGGCAAGATCTTGACCGTATTTATGTTCATAGAAAACTAATAAGTATACTGGTGTGGTGCTGTAGTTCCCACGCAGGGTGATGAGACCCCAGCTAAGGTTTCGTTCGGGTGTTTGTCTCAACATTACAGCTTCATTCAGTAAAAACATCACTTTTGACTGGGATGTTGAATTGGGTTGCTGTGAGTGGTCACTTGACTAGTTATATGTCCACTTTAAAGTCCCAGTCTGAAAACTTTGCCCAAGCTAACCTTGATGAGACACCCCCTAGGAATGACTCACTCGTGGCGTGTGTCTCTTCAAACCATTGTTTGTTAGGGACACATTTGATTTTGAGATTGAAAAGAGTTGCAGCCATGTATACCATAATTTATGCCTTTAATTAATGAAATGAATAAGCCTCATTACTATATCGGCAGTTGGTCCCAGATACCAAACAGGTCATTCATACGAGAACAGTTATCCAAAAGCTCTACTGTCAAATGTAGTGATGATCAATGATTTGTGTGCCGACCGACCTCTGCGGCCTAAATGGTTTTGGAATTTCGGAGAAACTAACTTAACTAGATACAGAACCCCTGTCCTCAAATCACCAAAAACGGAAGGGAAGTGAGGTTTGTGTAGGTACATCATTTTGGAGTGTGGCCCAGTGCGTTTGAAAGTTTTTAAGCGATGATAATTTGACTAGTAATAAAATAGTTCTCCCCAACAAGGTTGTAGTTCGTGTGGGGGCTTAGATCTGACTAAGCTTAGTACTCACAACTCCTGACCAAAACAAACCTGACCGTATCAAAAGCTTTACCTACCTGACAATTACTGACCAGTTTACTATAATTTTAAACTACCCCGACCCATCTTCAAGTAGCCTAATAAAATATAAAATTATTTCTTCCACCAACTACATCCTTGTCACATCATTTGGAATCTGTTAGGTTCGATAAGTTAACAGATATTCACCAAAAGATCACAAAATCGGTTTGTTAGGGGCTTGTGCAGATCGTGAGCTCGGCAGTAGGAATATAAAGAACTATAACTTTAAACCAGTGTCCAGTCATCAATTACAGGGAGACTGTCAACAAGTACGGAGAAACTGATAAGTGTCATCTCTTTTTCAGCCACTCACTCACGTTCTGTTACTCGTGGTTTTGCCATTCACTAAACACTGGTTCATTTTTTAATAACTTAATGTAATGTTCTACCCATCTGTGTTGACTACTAGCCTAGTGTGATGGGACTGAATGGCACGAGACAATTGTTACATAAGAGCTACAGAATCTACGAATCTTTCATGCTATAATCTTCCCAACAATACATTACCGTATGGATTATAACCTTGCATTAGTTTTAAGTACAGGTTACCAAACGAACACATCCTGTTGATACTTAAAATTACATATACTTTTGCTTGGAGTCAGGAAACCAACGTTCCCATCTGGTCCATTACTCAGGACTTAATGTGTCACTGCTAATGTTAGTTTTTTTTGTATTGACAGAAAATAAATACTAAATTGGCTTTTAAATCGTAGTTGTCCATTCCATTTAACGTTAATTAATCTTCCTTTCATGTGAAATCTCAGATAATATAGAGTTGTCCCACACTCGTAAAATAGCCTGTTGCGGGTCGGGTGAACACCCTCTGGGTGACATTAACGTTGGTGTCTGCCATAGTTTCCTTGGCTGATCATACAAGATGACTAACACAGTTGATGTAGTTAATTCAGACCCTCATATTAAAGACAATAGGAAGGTTAATCATAATGGAAAATTATGCACAAACATTGAGGTGTAGGAAACTGGCGACGTGGTCGGCAGTCAAGTGACTCACGATCGCGTAATGGTGTGACACAAAGAAGGAATTTGGTACCAGGTTAAAAATAATAATTAATTGTCAGAATATGTAAACTATGTCACAATAATTTGGTGTGAAGCCGTTAGTCAAGAGGTCAAAAAGAGCCTGAATATTACAGCCAAACCCACGAATTTCCCGCTAGCTTGAAGAAGCGTCATGGCTGCCTCACTGGGGACTTTCCCACACCACAACACTGAGTCACTGGCCGTTGTTTTTAACGCCAACGCTACCCTCGCTGTCCTCACTATGTCATACACACTTTACATCTTCAAGTGTCATGCAGAGGTTAATGTGTTACCCACACTCACGGGAAAGAATGCCTGTGCTATTTGTGACCTTGTTATTTTTGGGGTTAATAATAATGCAGTAGCATTAATAATTGATGTCAGTAGTACCCGGTAGGCTGATGCAAACAAGTCACACCCCAGGGCCAGATCCTTTGACCTCTTGTAATGACCCTGGCGTTCTTAGTGTAGTGTAGGTGTGAGGGCATTGTAAGTACGTTAGGGGTAGTATGAAGGGACCGTAACAGGAAAGAGTAGTGAGGGAGGTGTGAGTGACGGCGCGTAAAGGAGTGTTAACGCCGGAAACTTTGGCGTACAGTATAATGACTTATGGTGGTATAACGCATGTATGTGTATTAAAGAAATGTGTTGTGTGTGTAACCGCTGGAAGTTTTTGTGTTTACAAGATTATATTCAAACGGTTTATTCAGAAACGTATGTACAAGTGTAGTGTTATAGTGGCGTATTTTGTCAGCAAGATGTGCGTGAATAATTGTTGACCTGAATGTTAATGATGAACAAGAGTGTACAGTATATGTGAAAATTATCGATGATATGAGTGGACTAATACAGTATACATGTTATGACATTTAATGACATCTAAGTATTATATTATGTCCGGGGGAGTGTTTATGCGCGCGCGCGCGCGTGTGTGTGTGTGTGTTTTCTAAGGCTGAAGGTGTTTTGTTGCAGAGTGGTGAGTGGTCAACATGCTTAGTGAAGGTCGTCGGGAGGGGCTTCGCCTGGCGCTGAACCGGTCGCTGAGTGAGCCCGGTGAGGCAAGTGCCGCAGCCACCGCCAGATGCCCAGTGTCCCTGCCGCAGTTGATGGCGCCGCAGGTGGTCAGCATGCCAGCCTCTCCGTGCGGGGACAGTTCCACTATCCAGCGTTCACTACTATTAAGACGTGCCCGTGCCCTCGAGCCCGCGGACGTGGCGCGCAAACTCACTAAAACAAAACCCAAGAACTTCCTTCTCCTCGACTTGAGAACGTTCATCAACTACAACATGCGTCATGTACGCAGCGCCATCAACCTCAACTGCTCAGATCGCTTCAACCGCAAGCGACTACAGCTGCGACGGGCCTCTGTGGTGGACTTGGCGGCGTCTCCCTCCGGCCGCGACCTGCTGAAGAAACGGTGCTATAAAGAGATCATCGTGTACGACGAGTGTAGCACCGACCTAGAGGCTCTCCCGCCCCAACACCCTGTTTACCTCGTCCTCACGGCCCTCCTCGAGGACAACAGAGAACCCCTCCTCCTCAAGGGTGAGTACCTGCCTCACGGTTTTAATTCTTACATGTAGTGATATACAACCCACGTAGACTGTATCTTAAGTGTTCGGTAGTTGGTGTTTGTTAGTTTGTGCATGTTTTAGCCTAAAGTTCGTAGTGTTGGTGTAGAAGTCAATCACTTATCCTGGAGTACTGTAGGTGTAGCCGAGTGTATACTGTAGTGGTGTATTCTCCAGCAGCTGGCAGCAACACAGTAAGGTAGTGATGGGTCCCTCAGACAATTACTGGTCTCAGCAAAACTGTTTACCCAACGGAAGAGCAATTAGAGAAGAATGGTGAGTGTGTGAACAAGGGTGTAGACGGGCCAACCATAACAAGTGAGCCTCTACACACACACACAGACTCCCCCCCTCCACACACTCTCTCACTCCCAACACTTGCGTCTTCCCAGGAACCAGACACACACCATCACCCCCAACACTTTCCCTTCTGCAGATCATCCTCCCTCCTTCACACGTACACAGAATCATGCCGCTTTTGGTGTTGAGTTTGTTTTCGTAAGTGAGTCACTCGGGTCCTGGGAGGCTGTAAGTCCGGATTCTCAAAGGCCTGTAGGTTATTTTTTTTCTCCTCCTACTTTAAGATAATTCAGTCTTTGAGACTGAATACTGTCTGGCTTTGTTTGCCATTCTAATTTATCACACGAGAGAGAGAGAGAGAGAGAGAGAGAGAGAGAGAGAGAGAGAGAGTTCCCCTGTAGTGTTGTGTGTGTTAAGGTTTGATCTAAAGCTTGGTGTTATAATTTTGTCTTGAGACTTATGGTTTGTCTTCATTAGTAATTCTTCGATAATTATATGAATTTTATCGTAGAGTTCAAATATAATATACATTTATGCCTCTTAAAGGTTTACTTATAAGTATTGTATATACATCAAATTATTGGTTGTAGTTGGACAAAGAACGCTAGCGGTAGTTTGGGTGGCTGGCTGCTGACCATAATAGGCAACAGAGAAGTCTCAGGAAGAAATAATATACTCATTGACCAGCCAAGGATTATCGTGATACAGTGTCTTGTTCTTCGTGGTGTAGAGCGAGCCATGTGACGTTTAGCTGCAGGTGTTATCTGGTCCTTGCCATATTGTGTTTTTATCACAATAAACTTGGGAAAAGGAAGTGGTTGGGCGAGGTGAGGAGAGCAGGAAGCAGTATGTTGCCCGCCGGTATGACGACCTTGCCTGGGTGGCGAGGCCCTCACCATCTTCCTCATCCACACCTGGTCTGCCCACCACCCCCTCGCTCTTCCTCATTCCCCCCCTGACTCTCCCTCTGAATCAAAAACACAAATAAGGATAGGGTGAGGGTGCGAGGCTCCTGGTACCCTGGTGGGGGCCGCTGCTGGAAACGTGAAGGGGACCGTTAAGGACTTGATGGTGCACCCAGCCATCAGGAAGCCCCACTAGGCTGGCCTTGTAGACGGATGGCCTGGGCGGGGTAGAGACGGGCTGGGGGGTTGACGGGACCAGGCAGCCGGTAGTAGGAGGAGGAGGGGCTGGGGCCTCACTTGAGGACTTGTCTGCCCCCCCCCCCCACCCCCCTCACCTCTCCTAACAGTCCTCAAGGGGACATATCAGGTGAGCCCAGAGCGTTAAAGGTGATAGTTACGCTGCCTCAACCCGGTAGTAGACAAAACTGCTTCGAAAATATACCTCAGTTGATAGCACCAGCTGTTACAATCATAGAATAAAAGTTAATTAATTAATTTAAAGCACCGTGAGCTATTCTAGAGTCAGATATATCAAGAGCCATTGATTTATTGATGGGCAGCCGGCTGTGTCCAGAGCTCCCGGTGACGCATTTGTTGACAAGGCTTCGCGCCAAAATTCAAGTGTTATCACCCAGGTTATAAAACGTGAAGAGGAAAATGACTATGTACCCGTTGGTACTTCTCATAGGGTCCTGGCTGACTGGTCTGGTGCCCGGGGTTTTTGTCACTGGTGGCAGAGGGAGAACTTGATGAGGAAGAGGAACATGTGTGAATGACAACGGCAGTAACTCGATGATCTCCCCTAGGCGCTCACGGTGTTACATCACCACCTACTGCTGGTTCGACCTCTGTGTTTGTATGGGTTGCTGGACTAAATCCCTCCAAGCTTAACACTGAAACTATCCAAGCTTAACATAACATGGTTTTAAGATTTTATGGACTCAAGTTGGTTAGATTGTTTTGCTTCGTTTTTTTCCGTCCCGTGAGAAATAGTCTGAAGTGACTACAGTAGAAAGAATTTCTGTATAATGCTAGGCAAGTCTACTGTATTAACATCAGTTGGCCGATCACCTGCTGCCCCTTCACATTCCCTTGCCTGGAGAGCCAGCTAGGTGAAGTTCCCTACCTTACCGTACTTGGTAGGGTTCCCGTCCCTACCCTCACCTTCAATATTTTTCTTCCCCCTTAGTAAATAATCCGTTAAGGGAGGTAGGGGATTACTCACCCGGTCCTTGAGTCAAATCACAGACGAAGATTTTATTGAAGTGAAAGGGGGGGGGGGGAGATAGGGATTACTCACCTGTCTTCCCCTCGAGTGGATGAGATCACGAGCAATAATTTTAGGGGAGTGGGGATGAGATGAGGGGCCGGCCACTCCTGGTGTATGGAAGACCCAGGGCTTAACTCAAGTATCACTAGTCCACCATGAACCAAGCATCTTCGTCTCGTTGGTATGTGAACCAATTAGATGTTTGATCTTACGTCACCTGTCGGGAGTGAGATGTTATACACTAACCTGCGAGACTATAGAATCAGCCTTTGATCAGGAATACAATGACATTTTTATGCTGACTCAGAATTAGCGTTTTAATTTGTCGATGGCGAAATATAAAAGTTTTGTATTGCCCAAAAAGTCAATTGTCGCGTTTGTTTTGATGTCTAGAAAAAAAAAGGTTTAAAAGTTCAGTTATGCTTTTTAATTTTACCTGCGAGATGAAAAAAAACATGTAAAAAATATACGAAAGATCGCAGTCAACTCTGTTTTTACTCGCCAATTAAACGTTTTTGAAGCTGAGCAATATTTTTTTGTTTTTTACCAGGAAATATAATTTTGGTTGAAAAAAAATGGATTTATCGTTTGTTTATACATAATCGTTTGAATTTATATAATTTTGTAATTCGCCCGTTATTACGAATGCTGAAGGTTAGTGAAGTAAGAGCGCAGTTGGATGAAAATTAAGTGTAGGTGTCGAAAATACTGTGTGTAGCGAGTTCCACCATTAAATACTCCCACAACCCCTTACTTACGACTTGTATATCATACTGTACTACGTCGTTGGCCCCTACAACCTTGTGTTTACCGACTGCTGTACCTTATTGTAATTGTCACCTTCACCGATTAAGAATATTTGTGACAAAATCGTCGTACCAGTGCACGAGGCAAGGTGTTGGAGGAAGGGAAAGAGGAGGAAGGTTCCCCAGGGCAGTGTACTGGGTCCCTCCCTCGGCTGACTCATTCACTCTTGCAACATACCGTTCCTCACCTCCTCACCACACAATACATCACTCATACAGGTGTGTGTGTGTGTGCCTGGAACAATGGTTAAGGTGCACGGTTACCTTTTTGTAGTTTCTCTTGTGCAGATAATATCCTGGCCAGCAGATGAGAGCGAACTTGAGAAGTAAGTTTCTAATATAATCATCACAAAGCCTTTGCTCTACTCAAACTTCTAATATCTCTTCATGTTTTCCTAAGTGGGCAGGCGTTTATAATTATACCCTGACGTAGTGGATGAAGTGTCAAGTGATTTACTGTTTGCGTCCGTATCAGTTGATGATAATGACTGGTAGCAAGTTTCACCCAGAAGGCTTTTTATTAGGCCATAAATAATATATATATAAATTTTTTTATAAACTTGATCTTCAAAAACTTAGCATGTACTTGATAGTTATAAGGACCAGGTCCGGTAACTTGTACTTGATAGTTATAAGGACTAGGTCCGGTAACTTGTACTTGATATTTATAAGGACCAGGTCCGAGTGTTGGGGTTACTTCAGCTCCAACGTGGATGGCAACTCCCAAAATTACACTTCAACTCTACTTGACATAACTGGACACAGCGTTCTCGCCTTAACTCTTGGGAAATAACCTAACAGTGGTAGGCCTAGAGTAGTTAATAAGCACACATTCCCGGTAAATATCAACACTATCAACAACCCTTTCCCTCGGAGGAAGTTCTTAAGGAACCCAGTCATCGTTTTCATTATGTGCCCGGCGATGACATCACCGACGGTCCTCTGTGAAGGGCACACGACCTGGGCCACGACTGAAGATTCTTGCATTAACTTTCTGGCTTAGTAACAGAAACTTGGAGGGCATGTCTAATGACGTCGCCTGGACAGCTTTACTAACCGTTTATCGTTCGCCGCCCTCTTACTATTGCCACGCTTATGGACGTAACAGACGTACGCCCGCCTTCTGCCTGCAGTGCGTGTTACTTTATAGGACGAGCAAAATATTTCGGCCGCGGGAAACCTGGGTGGTGTGTCTGGGCATGGGTAAAGGTCAGGCGAGTGTGTGGTGGGGCCAGTCTCGCAACCACCACCACTGCATTCCTCTTATGGCCACACTAGCCTGATCCTGCAGGATGGAGGAGAAAATTCACCTAACTTAGAATCTAACATCAATTAACCAAACCAAGCCCCACACCCTACCAGATGAACTATTACAAACTTAAACTTCACCAAACACAACCTTACTTAATCACAATTTACTGTGTTTTAGTGAGGTTTGTCCAGTGGGAAATTCTCCGCTGAGATTTTGTCGTTACGACCAGTGAGCGTTAGATCTGTGGTCTGGCGTGCCTCCCTCACACCAGCAGGGCCCCATGTGAGTGGCACGCTGCTACCTCTTACAGAGCCATATTAGCTTGGATTCCCATATTTGATGACTAGTCAGGGGGCACAGGGGACGTCTCCTTCCTACGGACGTTGGTGGGCGTGATCCATGACGACTGTCTTATGCGATAAAAGTGTATCACTATAATGA